ATACCTCCTGATTTTACCTATTTCGATGGTTTTGATTATATTTTCCAATCGATTTGACTTAAAATGTGTGTTTAAGCTACTTTAGGGGTAGAGAACCATCTTTAATATAATATATATGCTATATTATTTAGGTTCTTAACTCTCAAACTAAAACCTCTTATTGAAAAAAAAGATCAGGTTTTTTGAAAGGCGTATTTATTTCTATTTAATCGAGTCATCATTTATACTAAAAATTGTGCCACTTATGTGAGCCAGATTTGTGAATTATTATGCTTTAAAAACTATGCATTAAAGATTAAAACTACGGGCCGGCAACGCGGACTGGGCCAGGTAGTATATATATATAAAACAACCCACCAATAAATGCAACTTAGATTGCGTGCGACTAAAAAGGACTTAAATCCGTCGTATCGTATGACAATATAAATGCGGAATCACAACTTCAGGAGCTCAACAATTGCTACAATCAATTAGAGGAAGTGAATTAAAGGAGTATGGGGACTGCAAAGTAACTCTCTTTTACTGGGGATATGATGGTTCATCTGGACAAAACCAATACAAACAATTTCTACGAGAAAATGTCTCAGACACGGATAAGTTCATGGTTGTTGTTGTAACAGTGGTAATGTACTCTGTTGTTTAAAGACTCATTAATCCGGTTCTTCTCCGATGTCCAGGTTTAGGAATTCTGCTACATTTATGGGCTCTAGCCAGAGATTCTCTAGACGGAGTTGGGTAGGTTTATCTAGATAATTGAACATATGCGGTGTATTGTGCGGGCCTGTATCGCAAGCTGGGCAAGCGGTTCGCACATCTTCGTTAATTCATGTCCAATATGAATTTAGATGTCTGCACCATCCTGAACGTAGTTGGGCCAAAACTACCCTGGTTTGCCTAGGCAACCGACGTTCTTCAGCTGCAATGGATGGGGGTGGACTCCGAGGATCTCATTCATGCTGTAATTGTTAACTACGTCTGCGACTACATCAGTATGAATGCTATTTAGACTCACTTGATAGGCTTAATGATCTAGAGGCTCTCTTTTATATCGCTAGACCTCTAGAACATGCAGCTCATTTCTGAAACGCCTGGGTGGGGGAGTTCTGTCCACCATATGGTGGTTAGGATGACTCCCACGATAACACCCAGGCAGGTACTGCAACGAAGGCATATAACTATGCTGACATGAGGGAAGAATCTTCATCTCCTCATGTAAATGGTTCACAGGAGTCGTGAGGAGGCACCCTGTATCAATTCTCTGGCAGGTCTGAATACTTTCCACTGCGTTGCACGCGTATTCGCAGACCACACTGGAGCCGCATAGCTAACAACAGACCGACCTATCGTTTAATAAGAGGTCAACAAGGTTTCTTTATTCGCGCCCAGTGCTGCCGGCTAGCGCCTTGCGGACCTTGTTCCTACTTTTCAATTTATTGCAGATAGCTTGCGCGGACGACTTGAACATGCTATCAAATGTGATCCCAAGGATTTTAGGGTAGTTAGTGGTCGGAATTATATGCCCCTCGACCTGCACATTCAACTGTGTTATCATCTCCGCAGTGGTAAGTAGTGTGGCCGTTTATTTAGTGGCGGATATTTTCATATTCCTCGCAGGGAAAATGGCGGGGCAAGATGTTCACCCTGACACATTTGTCATCAACTACAGGACCCGTACAGTGATCGTACAGTCGTCCGCATATGTTACGGTCTCGTTTGGAGGGAGCGGAATTCCGGAAAGGTCGAGGCTAATCAGTTCCGGTGATATCACTCGACCTTGGAGAACTCCCTGTTTCACTTTACGGGGCTTGGACTTCTTGTTCCGCCTGCGTCCACACATATAATTGCCTATCCAACGTTTCAAATATGGCCGGAGGGTAGTATTCTCAACGTCCTAGAACAGCGTGGTATGGTTGACCGTATCAAAGGCCTTTGACAAATCAACAGCCACCACTACTGTTCTATGGCACGGCCTGTTCTGGTTGAGCCCTCGTCTGATATGTATGTGTGGATATGGCGTGCAATGTCGTTGTGGTACTATGTAGTGGACGGAATCCGTGTTGATTCTTAGCAACTGAATAGCTTCCTCTGATACTGAGGAGGAGGAAGCGAACTCGGCCTGCACGTTTCGCTCTTGCTGGCATCCTTGCCTGGCTTCAGTGGTCGGACCATCCGGCCCATTTTTCAGGCTTCGGGAACTATGTGGGTGGCTAACCACAGGTTAAGGACTTTTGTGGTTCGAGAGTGCCTTAACCGTTACCCATTGTTTATTTAAATCGGTTCGAATTATGCATCACTTCAGATGGTTTAACCACTTTTTCCGCTTATGCTCCTGTATCAACCTGTTGACGTTGGTTAATCCCACGGCAGTGGGTTCTACAATACCGGATTGACCCGAAACAACAAGATCCCAGTTTCGGCCAGCGGCTACCAACCCAGTATGTACATGTTTGTGTTTGTTTTTTTTTTCTGCATTGGGAGCAGCGTATCCCGGAATGCTTGCTCCGGATTTTATTGGTCCGTGCCGGGATTGAGGAAAACCCCGGACATTGGTTCTGCTCGGTTTGTCAAAACGTCATCCACCACATATCTGTTTCGGTGCGATGTAATGGATGTAGAGAATGGGTGCACTTCAAGAACTGTTCCGGACTAAGGCGTATGCGAGACTACATCAAAAAGGATTATGTTGCGACTTGCTGCAGTTACGTAGTCCCCAGCGAGTCCTCTTCTTCGTCGTCCTCGTCAGAGACGTCGTCGGAGTATGGCACTCCACCGCAGTCTCCAGAACAGCAACCAACTCCGCAGCACCTAACGCCACATATTGCTGTTCCAAATCCGGATTGTGCATCATTCTTGCAATTCAATTGCAACGGACTTCGAGTCAAAATAGATGAGATAGTGGAATTTATGAGTCGGAGGCCGCCGATTAATAGCTGTGAACCGCATTATTTGCCTGATATTAGCCCATTATTGGTAGGCAATAACCGCCTGGTACTAGGGGATTTTAATGCCCACCATGAGTTGTGGCATTCCTTCCTAGGTAATGACTAGAGGGGATCAGCGCTGGCAGAGCAGATTGACTGCTCCACATTCTGCACGGTTAAAGAGGATGCCCCCACCCGAATAAGAGGAGAGTGTCACAGTTCGCCAGACCTAACCATAGTGTCATCCGGTCTGATAAATGCCGTGACTTGGCAACCCGTCATTCCTCTTGGCTCAGACCATCTCCCAATAATAGTCTCCATAAGCAGGTCGCCCGATTTCATAACCTCTGAACGCCGCACTTTCCTTAACCATGGGAAAGCTCACTGACCAGAGTTCAGAGAATTCACCAACCGCCGCTTCAGAGAACTGCCCAACCCTTCTGATGTTCGGGTAGCAGAAAGGATTTTCCGAAACATCATCAAAGCTGCAGCCGCTCGCTATATACCTGCTGGTCGAATACCCGAGATAAGACCAAACTTCCCAGCAGAGGCAGCAGGATTAGCAAACGAGCGTGATGATCTCCGACGTACCAACCCTACTGATCCTAGAATCAGTGATTTGACAGTGGAAGTCAACCGGTTGGTACAGGAGCATAAGAGCAAAAAGTGGCTAGACAATCTGAAGTGCTTCAACATTGGAACAGTCGTACCAGTCGTACGTGGAATTCCGGTCGATGACATATGCGAAAGGCTGAACCCCTATCTCGCGGAACTTGCTTTCATATGATTTCGTTGCAGTACCTGCTTGGGTGTTACCGTGAGAGTCATCCCAACCATCATATGGTGGATAAATCTCCCCCACCCAGGCGTGTCAGGAAGGACATACATGATCTAGAGAGGGAGGTCCAGTGCTACAAGAGAGAACCTCTAGATCAAAAAGCCTATCAGGCAGGTCTGAGTGGCATTCACACCGATGCCGTCGCGGATGCTATTAGCAGTTATAAAGTGAATGCCGTCCTCGGAGTCCACCCCCCATCCATTGCAGCTGAAGAACGTCAGCTGCCTAGACAAACCAGGGTAGTTTTGGCGCAATTACGTTCAGAATGGTGTAGTCGTCTCAATTCGTATTGGGCACGAATTGATGAAGATGTGCGTGACGCCAGCCTGGCGTGTGATACAGGCCCGCACAATACGCTACACCTCTTTAATTGCACAGCCAAACCTACCCAACTCACTCCAGAAGATCTCTGGCTGCAGCCCGTAAAAGTAGCCGAATTTCTAAACCTGGAGCTGGAACCAGATTAGCAGAACGCAAACACATGCATGTACTACTGCTACAAAAACAACAACCTGTTTACTTCCACTGCTTCCAATACAGAAAAGAAGAAACACAATTAAATTTTGATTAAAAGAGAAAAACTATTAGCGAAGACGTCAGTGACGTGAAAACACAAATGGCATAATTACAGACTATCGAAATAAACTTTGACTATCAATTAGTGCTTACTATGGTAGATGGAAAAGATGCCCAGGTCCTGTCTGTTACTAAAATTTCATCCTACTGCGTTGTTGGAACACATCAACCTAGATAAACGAAATCCTCGAAAAAGTATTAGATAGGATTATGGTCACTACACACAAGAATACTTTTTATGGAACATATTCTTATAATTTTGAAAAACCCGAATATGTAATATTAATAAATTTTGAGCTTTGCCTTGTTACATTTCGATAGATCAAATAAAATAAAATCAATTAAAATAAAAAAGTTCAAATATACAAACGGAATCATCCCAATGTAAAATGGCTATTTGCGAATTAGAAAACGAAATATTTCGAGGCTCATTCGAGTTCCAATTTCACAGGGTTTTCTTAAATTATCATAGAATTAATTAGTTATTCAAGTAAAGTGTTTTGACTTGGAAAAAATGAAATTCATTATGTGTTAATTTTGGCTTATTTATATTGATGTATTTTTTTCTATGAGCCAATTATCGAACATTGACAGTAATATGTTACACGAAGAAAAAATATATACTATAAAAATTAGAAAAGTAGAATCGTATTTTTAATACTTACACATATCCTCGTATCACACAGCTTCTGGATTTACTATTATATTGCAATACTTCTTGCAACTTAAAACATAGTTGCAAACCAAATTGTACTTTCATATTTACAAAGCCTGCATAAGATCTATCGATTTCTTTAAGTAAGGCATCTGCTCTATGAGCGGTCTAAAAAATTGGATATTTTTTTATGTAACATTATTACAAAATACAAAATAACCTACCTCAAGCTTGTAATCTGTACTCAAACAAATCAAATACGGCACCATTCGCACTGGATGAACTAAGCCTTGTCGCAGAACTATTTGAATTACTTTTACTGCCCAGAGGCGGACTGCATCATCTCGATTAAGAAAACACTCCAATATTTCTTGCAAGTATAATTGTATCACGCGACTTGCCATGCCAGAGGAGACGTCATTCATTTCTTTAAGGTCTTCATTTTGTGACTGCTTTTCCCCTACACACGTGAAAATATGTATGATAAAAACATTTGACTTTCACTTACTTCAAAAATCATGCTCATTTTGAATAGGTCTGTATCTTATTTAGAAACTTACATTCTTTTTCCCTATTATGCATGTTCATTTCAGATTCTGTAAGATAGATCCATATGTTCCGCATACATATAATTTTTATACTTGCTTCTATTTTATCTGAACTAAGAATATCACAGTAAAATTGCTTCAGCTCCGGCCTTATCAAGTAGTTATCATTCATTACACAAAATGAACCTAAAGCTATTAAAGATTGTTTTCGAATTTCGTAGTTAGAACATTGGCTAAAGAACATAATACAGTCGAAAACATCATCGCATATTGTTGGCGGCAGGGTGCTGCAGTCTCCTAAAAAGAAAACAAATATAATTTCAAGTGTAAAAAGCTTCCTATTGAATGCAATGTTTTTTGTGTCCCAAAAGTATGAGTATAAAGTTGGAATAATAAAGCAAATAATTTCAAATTAATTTATGACAGAAATCCATATTTGATGTACAGTTGGTCGTTCACATAGTTCGTTTTAGGTAGTTGTTCCATTTAGTTCATTCTTTCGTGTATATGTAAAAATACTACACAATAAAAATATATTTGTGGGTTTTTAAGATATATTTCCGTCGCAATTTTTTTTGAATTCACATACATGTTTTGCATTTTCCATTTGTGTAATTAGCACTAATTGTTAAATGTATAAAAAGTCTATTTGAAACTGATAGACACTTTGTATATTTCCTCAATCCCCATGGGGAGTATGACCTTTGCTGTGTGGACTATTTATAAAAACAATTAATTTTAGAAATCTTTGATTCGTGGTAGCCGGTACGGGACATACTCAGAGATGAAAATTCCAAACCCTGCCAAAGGCCGGCTACTTACAAAGATTATGAAATTTGGGACAAACCTCTAACCCCTCCTCCGTTCGCGGAAGCATAGCTGAATGCTACCGGATGCGTCCACAGGTTGCGCATAGTGGGACGCCCGATAGATATATCGGGCAGCTGCGAATTAAATAAGCAGTCGCGGACAGCTCAGCGGTTTCTGGAGGGGTTAGTCTCGGGCTAAATACCCGAGTACCTATGATCCCTGGACTCGACGAGGCGAAGTCACTGGCGCCCCTAAACTATCCAGTCAAAGGACTGGTCCACCGCAACGGACTCCCTAACACTGGGGTGTTACGTAAACCGTGCCCATCGGTGTTCCAAGGTTTGTAGTCAGGGTACCGGCTGTTTTCGAACGGTTGGAAGTCCTTACCATGATATGGAAGCTATGTCGTGGCGGACCTCATCACCTCCAACGTCCAACCTTGGAGAAAAATTTAAAATCAACAAACAACAAAACAAATACCGACAACAATTCAATCGCCTCTTCGGAGGCACCGACACGGAACGCGGCCACGGACGAGATCTCAATGATGGGTGGGGACGAGACTCTGCTTACGTACAGAGACGCGGTATGCGAAAGCATACAAAGACAGAGGAAACAGCTGTCCGCCCTTCTCGAGAAGACCAAACCCCTTAGGGTTAGCCAGGAAAGTGTACCATCCGGTCTTGGTAGTGATTCACCTCTCTTTGATGAGGTACGACGCCACCGTCATACCCTTATATGAGAGAGATGGACCAGTCCAGAAAACTGGAGAGGTTCCTCATACCGTCGCCCAGGTAGGCCAATACTCGGCGAAGGAATTTTATCGGAGCACACCGATGCTACCAACCTCCGGGTCAAGGAAGGCGTCGTGGAAGGTGGCACTAGTGCCTCTATCAACCGCGACGACTCCGGATCGAAAGAGGGTAAAGCAAGGAGGGGCTACAACAGTCGGTGAGGTACTATAAAAGCTTCATCGGCCGCGATCCCCTACAGATCACTGAGATGGAAAGGACCCTGATCAAGACGAACCTGAAGGCAGTGCGAAATTCGAAAAGAATCATCCGAAACTGCCAAAATATTCTCTTGAGAAGGAACTTGCCTCTCTCCTTACAGACCTCGGGAAGACCGGGGCAACCTACGAACGAAGCTGGAGTGGGAAGCAGTAAAACTCCTGAGATTGGAATAAGGCTAAACCTGTAACCGACAACCTGCAGCCTTCGAGCCAACCTAACAGGAAAAGGAAACATTCTCAAACCACCTACCCGGACAACCTCCGTGTAGCGGTCATCGATTGAACTAAGCCGGAAGGCAAAATCTGCGAAAGTCGGTGTCTTCTCATTGAGGATCGTCTGAGGGAGTTGGTTTTCCTGGGGGAACATCCTACACAAAGGAGTGAAGGTGATATGCTGCGAAAAGGAGGAGTCCAAAAACTTCCTCGTGACCGCAGTAGCTGGCTTTCAAGGGCTTTAAAATGGAAGTGCACTTGCTGCTGTATTCCTAAAGGAAATTTCCTGTAGGAGAATATTGACAGCATGGGTGCCACCCACCCTCAGTGGATCCGACACGCGTTCTGACAATATTGGAAAAACAAAATCCCAACCTCATTACGGAAAGTCGACTCAAGCACGGAGGGGGGACGCCTGCTCGTTAAAGTATCTATTGATACAGCTGGCCAGGACTACCTTCAGGCTCGCGGGGGAATCTGCACTTTGGCACAGGATGGATTTGATTTCGTCTAACGCCGACGTCGCAGTAGGAGAAAGGAAGCCACTGTTGCTTAACGTTGTGCAGATTAATCTGCACCACTGTAATGCAGGTGCAGCTGAACTTCTCATGTCCCTCACCAAGTTTGAAGTAGATACAGCCCTGGTCCAGGAACCTTATATAGTCAAAAATAGGGTGACTGGGCTAGGGAGTGAGCAGTACATCACCTATGTCACATCCAATGGAGAAAAGGTTAAAACGTGTATCGTCGCTAAAAAGAACTTAAATTTAATCTTCCCCAATAATTTCAGCGGAGGAGACGCCACGGCGGTTAGGATGGAAGCACGAGCCGGAAGGGTACTCTTTTTTGCCTCCATCTACCTACCCTTTGAGTACCCCGACCCGCCAGGATGGATGTGATTCTAACGCTCACCATTTTCAATGGCGCAGTAAGGATACGAACACAAGAGGTGAGTCCATTTTCGATTTTATTTTAACAACCTTATTTATTTCTCAAAATATGTAACAGGAGAAATGAGGCAACTTTTCAAACTAGGAATAGGGAGGGAGGGAGTCACTCATACTGAGTTGGAAAGTTTCCACCGATTGTTCCTTCTCGGACCATCGGAAGATAACATTCCAGGCATCGGTAGAGGGATTGCGTCAAAAACCGCATAGGAACCCGAGAAAGCCTCGATGGGATAAATTTGCGGAGCACACTGCATGGAAGCTGAGATCTACTGGTAATCTCCCAGTAGACTCCGCCTCCGATGTGGACGAGTCCGTTAATTTGTTAACTAAAGTCCTGATTGGGAGCTATGAAAGAGCTTGACGCTTACCTTCCCGGGATAAAGGTGCCAACCTGCCTGGTCGTCGAAAGACCTAGCCCAGCTCAGGAAGATAAGCACACGCCTTTACAATAGGGCCAACAAGACCAAACTGGGTACGGACTGGAAGGCTTACAAATCAGCATTCAACAAGTACAAGAGTGAAATCAAGGAGGTCAAACGAAGGTCTTGGGTTTACTTTACTGTGTCCATAGAAAATGTCAACGCTGCCTCCAGATTCCGTAGAGTGCTTTCAAAGGACGCAAATCCATTGGATGCATAAAGCGGAATGACGGTAGCTGGACTGAGACTGGTCTAGAGACACTCAACCTGTTAGCCAATACTCACTTTCCGAACTGCTCCGATGCGGTAAATGACCAATTGGTAGATCGGTCTAGTCAGCATCGTGGTGTCGAGGATGTTAGTCTGACTGAGAGGATTGTAAGCGCTCCCAAGATTTTGTGGGCTATAAAGTCATTCAAACCTTTTAAGTCACCGGGACCGGATGGCATTATTCCCGCCATGCTACAGCATGCATCGACGGTAATAATACCACTTCTGGAGGGGTTTTTTAAGGCTTGCCTGCGTCTCTCTCACATTCCATTCCTGTGGAGGGAAGTTACGGTCACTTACAATCCCAAGGCTGGGGAACCAAGTCATGTGCTTCCAAAGGACTACAGGCCTATTAGTCTTTCATCATTTCTATTGAAAACGCTGGACAGACTATTATACATTGAGATTAGATCTATGATACCCCTGGGACAAAGGTATTGGCTTACGCCAATGAAGTTGTCTTGCTGATTGCTGGGAAAATTCCGAAAACTGTTTTAGATCTTATGCAGGGAGCTCTAGTTAAACTCTCCAGATGGGTACGCTGCAATGGCGTGAACCTATTAAAAACTGAATTCGTACTCTTTACAAGGAATAGGAAAATACCAGACTTTTCGCTGCCTATCCTTGATGGTGTTATGCTAAGCCTTTCCTCGGAAGCCAAATACCTCGGTACCATCCTAGACCAGAAGCTAAACTGGAAGAGGAACATAGAGAAGCGAGCGGAGAAGGGCTTAATTGCACTTTATTCCTGTAAAAACTCTAAAGGAAAAAGCTGGGGCCTAATCATGGCATTCGCAATCGAATGCTGATTCGTATCGACATGAATTACAACTCGAATTTATTGTTGGGATGATTGCATTCGATCGTAATTTAGTATCGAATTTATCGATTTTGTTACATTTGGCAATATCAAATTTGCCATCTTTAAGAATAAATAAAACATGTTGTTATTTATTTGGTGAAAAAGTGAAATTTTGCAAAAATAGATGAGGAATTGTGTTTTTTATGTCATCGTCGGATTCGGAATATGATTTTATTGTAAACATCTTAAGAAAACAAATCTAAAAATATGTAATTATACCCATTTGAATAAACCACAACAGCTGTTATAGTTTTTCTTCACATTGAATGTTTAAACAACGCTTTCGTGTTTCAAAGGAAGCTTTTAAATATATTTTTATCAGAACTGAACTTTACTGGCCATACGTCAACAGCGGTACCACCTACTCTACAGTTAGCACTACACTATCACTTGTGGCTAGCGGCAGCTTCCAGCTCTGTGTCGGGAACGACTTTTTGGTTGGTTTGAGCCAAAGTCCTTTGTGCAAAACTGCAGAACGACTTTTAAAAGAAATGGAGAAGAAGTTGTGTCACAAAAAAATAACATTTCGATTGGAAGAGTCGGCAAAATGAAAAGAAGCTTTTGTGTCAAATCATAATAATTATTTAATATTTATAAAGAAACATACATTTTTTTTAATTAATGCACAAATTATGCTCCAATCTGAATTATAACATTTTTTAATGTCGTATACGATACAAAAATAGACGCGGAAAAAACCCGCATGGTTTCATTCGACACTTCCATGTCAAGTACTCGATATCCAACGCCGTCATCCAAAA